TTTATTTATTTTATTTTAATTTTTTTATTTTTAGGATTTAACTTGCACTAACTTCTTGTTTCTTTTCAGAAACAAGACTCTTCCCCCAATGTCGTGTACAGTCTTCACGCTTTATGTGAGAGCAGCAGTCGTTCATACGTGGCAGCCATATTTTTCTGCCTGCTGGTCTTGAGGAAACAACAAATCCTCAATCTGCACCAGAGTGCCCCATACAGTGACATCATCGCCACACCTGGGCCTCTCTTTTCTTCCCTCTAGAACAGGTAGCCATGAAGCACTGGAGGGAAAACCTTTAGAGATGTTAGAGCTCATTAAAGGGCTTTGCTGTTTCATACATGTTCTTGGTTGGGAGCAAACTTTATGGATTTCTGTAAAAATTTAGACAATGTGTTATAAATTCCTATGGAGACCTGCTAAAAATGTGTCTCAGCTATGAAATGTGTCTGTATAGTGTTATACTGTTTCTAAAAAAAAAACTAATATATATGTAGTACTCAGATCTGTATGAGCTGGGCTGTAGGTGAAAAGTACCGTAGAGCAGCTCACAACACAGTGGATGGTCTACATATAAAACGATCATTAATATGATTGTTTCAGTTTAACCAATTTCATGAACTAAATTGACTTAAATCCTTGTTCATTACTTGAAAAGTAGGTTGGCATGGATTGAAACTCGAGCCTGAATTGGAATGTCTTTTTGTCCTACAGTTTAATGTAATAATTGTTATGTTCCAAAAACAGTTCTGCTCTGTGTTGATTATTATGATCTGTATGATCTTTTTACCCAATTCTTGAGACCATTAAATGTACAAATCAAATAAAACTTAAAAAAAATAATCATTTATTTTGTTCCAAACATACTTTCACAAACTCTAAAGGAAAAGTGTAGCGGGATGTCCTGGGTGCTCTTGTAAATGTGTGAATAGGGACTGGTGCTATATTGAGCTCTGACAAAATTAGCATAAGAATAACTTTCATATTGTTAGTAGTATATCAAGATGAACATTTACTGGACTGAAGCAGTTTAGATTGACTTGATTGTCCATACATTTTTTTTTTTCATGGTCTTGTTAAAATATGAATATCTAACATGATCAATCAAGCTAAGGAATGTTTATTTATTCATCTCTCAATCATCATTAAACTGCATAATACGTTTTGCTCGCACAATGAAAAATACAGAGCTTTGATCATAAAACTAAATGTTTAAATATGATTTGCTTAGACATATTATTGGGAGATATAGAATGACAGCTGATATTTACAGTCAGGTCTGGAAGAATTCGGACACTGACTGAGTGTTTGTGCTTTTGCCTTTATACACCACTACAATGGATTTGAAATAAAACAAGATGTGACTGAAGTGTAGACTTTTAGCTTTATTTTAAGAGGTTCCACAAAAATATGGCATTTACCATTTAGGTGTTACAGCCATCTTATATTTTCAGAGGCTCAATACTATTTGGACAGTTGACTAAGAAGAGGTTAATTGACCAGGTGCTGTCCATTCTCTCGTTACTTCAAGACAAATTAAGCAGATAAAAGATCTGGAGTTGATATGAGGTATCAAATTGGCATTTGGAAGTTGTTTGATGGTGCTACCAATATAAAGTTCAAGAAGATCTCAATGAACGTGAAGGAGGCCATCATTAAGTTGAAAAAAAAACAACATAAATCTGTAAGTGAGATAACAGATCAACGGTTGGCTACATTCTTAAGAAGAAAGCAAGTACTGGTGAGCTCAACAACATCAAAAGGCCTGGAAGACCACGGAAGACAACTAAAGTGGATGATCGCAGAATCCTTTCCTTGGTGAAGAAAAACCCCTTCATAACATCAACAGAAATCACAAATACTCTGGAGGAGGTGGGCACATCATTGTCAAAATCTACAATCAAGAGACGCCTCCATGAATGTAAATACAGAGGGTTTACAACAAGATGCAAACCACTGGTAACATTCAAGAACAGGAAAGCGAGATTAGACTTTGCCAGAAAACATCTACAAAAGCCTCCCATGTTCTGGAATAAGATTCTTTGTACTGATGAAACCAAGATGAACTTGTACCAAACTGATGGGAAGAGAAAAGTATGGCGAAAGACAGGAACAGCTCACGATCCAAAGCACACCACATCAAGTGTCAAACATGGTGACAGTGTTATGGCATGGGCATGTACGTATAGCAATGGAACAGGCTCACTGGTGTTTATGGATGATGTAACTGCTGACAGAAGTAGCAGGGTGAATTCTGAGGTCTTTAAGGCTATACACTCTGCTCGCATTCAACCAAATGCTACAAAACTGATAGGACGCAGCTTCACAGTGCAGATGGATAATACCCCTAAACATACTGCGAAAGCAACTCAAGACTTTTTGAAGGCAAAGAAATTGAATATTCTTCAGTGGCCAAGACAGTCACCTGATCTCAATCCAATAGAGCATGCTTTTCAGTTACTGAAGACACGAGTGAAGGCAGAAAGACCCACAAACAAGCAGCAACTCAAGGTGGCTGCAGTGTAGACTCAGAATTTGGTGATGTCCATGGGCTCCAGACTACAGGCAGTCATTGACTGCAAAGGATTTTCACCCAAGTATTAAAACTGTGCTTATATTTATAATTATGTCACTTTGTCCAAATACTATTGAGCCCCTGAAAATGTTGGTACTTTGCTTAAGATGGCTGTAACTCCTAAATGGTAAATGTCATATTGTTGTGTAACCTCTTAAAATAAAGCTACTTCAATCACATCTTGATTGTTTTATTTCAAATCCATTGTAGTGGTGTATAAAGGCAAAAGCACAAACTCTGTAAGTGTCCGAATACTTCCGGACCTGACTATGTGTATTTTAAGTAGTCTGTTACACTGTTATGAATAATGATTTACAATATGAAGCTATCAGAATTTAATCTTACTTTTTGGCCATATAAATATAAGCAAATGCACCAAATTGCATTTTTTTTCCCCGTCTCACTTTGGCCTTTGAATAAAATGGTGTTTTTTTCTCCTTGAGTCTTAACTCCGTTCTCCTGCATCATACTATATATGGGTTGATTTTTTTATATTTTCATGTCCAGTATAAACTGACGCAACAGGGTGGACACGTTATGTTTTATGCTATGAAATAAGTTGGTTACCAACTTATTTAATAGTGTAAAACATATGTCCACCCTGTAACACTTTAGTTTAGGGACCAATTCTCATTAACTAGTTGCTTAAAAGCATGCCTATAATGTCACTGCTGGAAAGGGTTCAAATATGTAAAAGATGCTGGAAAACTGAAGAACCTGCAGGACACAAAGGATTTTTCTGAGGAACGGTGCTCAGTTTAACTGTTTAACAGAACAAACAAGGGACTCATGAACAACCATCACAAAACAAAAAACAGTTGTAGATCATCCAGGTAACCACACACAGTATTAAGAACCAAGGGTTCCCAAACTTTTGAAGGGGGTTATTTTAATTTTTTTTTTTAAATGTGTCTTGTGGACTATATGTAAACATATTTTATGTAAAATATACTCAGGACAGTACTAAATAAAAAATAACATGCATTTTGTATGATCTCTCTTATTTTGTTAAAATTATTCACATTTTCACAGATTCTGCAAGGGGTTCCCAAACTTCGGCATGCCACTGTAATTCTCAAAATAGGTCATTTAGAAATATGTAATCTTTACTAAGTGAAGTTGAGAAAACTTGAAACACACACACACACACATGTATTGGTGGTTTAAAGGGACTCTTCATAGGCGTAATGGTTTTTATACTGTACAAACTGTATTTTCTATCAACCCTACACCTAAACCATCCCCTTACAGAAAACTGCATTTTAAGATTTTCTTTTAAACACATATTGCATACATTGTTTTCTTTTGGGTATTCTGACATCTCAAAGTGTTCAGTGGCCTCTTGTTCAATGAACATTGATAGCCTACTTGCTCCAGTAAAATCAGTGGTTCAAGCAATTGCCACAGACTCCCATTAATGAACGGCAATGGGTCAAATATAATCATGAAAAGTCTGATTGCATTTTAGAGGAAGCTGTCTCAAAGCAGTCGCCACTGAGGTGACCCAACGGTTTAAAAGCTCAGAGCACTAAAAAGACAATTCAGTAACCTGTGTTCATAAGTTGTCAACAGTACAAAAACCCCTTGACGTCTGATGCCAACAATTACTATTTTGAAACTAAATAGAGAGTCTGAAACTGTTTGCCTCTCTATCTCAAAATATTTATTATTTTAATGTATTTTTATTTGATGTATTTTTTGTACTTCTATTGATTCCTTCTCCTTGTGTTGTTGTTGTTGTTTTTCTTCTTCTTCTTTTCCCCCCTCACTGTTGCTGTTAGTGGTGTGAGTATAATAATTATTATTTATGTTGATTATTTGTATTATTTATAGTGGATATGCCTTATGTTGCTGGGTGTTCCCTGTATTGTTGTGTACAATTTGCAATTTTTAAAAAAAAATACTATTTTGAACATTTGGTCTCTGTCCCTTTAAGAAACGCCGTCGCAGCGTCACGCAAATGCGTCGGTTCTGCTCTCATCAGCAGCAGCATCCGTCCATCAGCGCAATGACGCCGCACGCATCACTGGCCCGAGCGCAGGTCTCTATCTCAAAATATTTATTATTTTAATGTATTTTTATTTGATGTATTTTTTGTACTTCTATTGATTCCTGCTCCTTGTGTTGTTGTTGTTGTTTTTCTTCTTCTTCTTTTCCCCCCTCACTGTTGCTGTTAGTGGTGTGAGTATAATAATTATTATTTATGTTGATTATTTGTATTATTTATAGTGGATATGCCTTATGTTGCTGGGTGTTCCCTGTATTGTTGTGTACAATTTGCAATTTTAAAAAAAAATACTATTTTGAACATTTGGTCTCTGTCCCTTTAAGAAACGCCGTCGCAGTGTCACGCAAATGCGTCGGTTCTGCTCTCATCAGCAGCAGCATCCGTCCATCAGCGCAATGACGCCGCACGCATCACTGGCCCGAGCGCAGGGCACCGCCAACATCCATGAACAAACTTCACTGGGATACTACTGGGAAGAGCAGAGGATGTAAGTGACGTTCATCCCGGTTCACTCTTCTCTGTCATGAATTCTCTCGACTCACAGCTGTTTCAGGAACTATGACAGGTGCTTAATGTTCATCCTCAATCATAACGATTTGTGCATCATGTGTAACTGCGTCTCTCAGCATCCTACACTTTCTATAGACTAGGCGTATTATGTCATTTAGTTTTACGCTGAACAAAGTCACCGACGCACTGTTGCCGCGCCGCGCTTCAGTCTCAGATACTGTTACATAAGGCAGCTTGCGCCCTTTACTGCACAGGGACGATTTACCTGCAACATATGGAGGGTGGTGACGGCATGGCCAGCTCCCATCATGGGTCGTGTAACCATGGCAGTTATGCATCTATAAAAATCTCTGATTTTTCTAAACAAAAATGTAGTCTTGTGCTATACTGCAGTACAACCCTGTAAGACAGAAATTAACCAGGGATATGTCCCAGATAAAAACCATTACGCCTATGGAGAGTCCCCACAAGGATAGCAAACCAGACATGCATGTGTGTGTGTGTGTGTGTGTGTGTGTCTTTGTCTAGTTCATTTTGTTTATTGTTCTGAATGCTTGGTTTACATAAGCCTTTATTTTCTTGTGCGTCATGTGGCATCCAGAATGAAATGCTCTCTGTTGGACTCTGTTCAGCATCTGATATTCTAATATTGTCTGGCATGTGTCTTTTTTGATTTGGTATTTTAATGGGATGCAAGGTTACAGAGTCTCCAAATAAACACGCTTGTGTTTGTGGCTATCAAATGGCCAACTAGCAAATTATACTCACTCACCCTTGTGTTATTATAAACCCTTGTCACTTTTTTCCGGAGAACACAAAAGGATTTTACCGGAATCTTTACGCTGCTCTTTTCCATACAATGAGAGTGAATGGGGACTAATGTGGTCAAGTTTCAAAAGTGATGAAAAGCACCATAAAAGTGATCTATGCACTATGCTCCAACTCTCTTCTGAAGTCATGGCTTTGCTCGGTTTTAGTCTGTTCTTCACACAAAGCTATCATATGACTTCAGAATGTCACATGACTTGGAATGTAGCACACAAATCATATGGACCACTTTTAAGATACTTTTATTTATTTATTCCTTTATTCATTTATTGTCTTTTATATGCTTTGCTGCCCCTGTCCCGTTTACTTACATTGTTTGGAAAATAACAGTGTGAACATTCTTCTTTTGGGGCAATGAAAAATACCTAAACAATGCATATTCATATACATTGACCTGAATATACCTCTTCTATGGTGCACATATTTTTAGTTTATGAATTGCAGTATTTTTAATGGGAGGAACAAAGTTAACAGTCCTGATATGATAATGAAATAAAACCTACAAGAAAACGTCATTCATCAGTAGTCTGGCTTCATTTTTATAGTGTCTTAGAAAAATATACACTACAATTTTACAATTAAAAGTTTGAGTTTGATCAAAAGTAGCAGTAAAGACATAAAATGTTACAAAAGATTTCTGTTTGAAATAAATGCTTTTCTTTTAAACTTTCTCTTCATCCAAGAATCTTGAGAAAAAAAAAAGTTTCTGCAAAACATGAACTGTATTCAACAAATACTGTATAATGATAAAGGTTTCTTGAGCAGTAAATCAGCATATGATTTCTAAAGGACCATGTGGCACTGAAGACTGGAGTAATGATGCTTAAAGTGCCCCTATTATGGGAAATGAAAGGTTCATATTTTGGTTTTGGGAGTCCCAACAACAGGTTGACATGCATGCAAGGTCAAAAAACAGTTTCATTTTTCCAAACCCCTCCTTTGCGTGACGCTAATCTGCGGTGATTGGTCCGATTGGTCTCAGTTTAATTTAATCTCACCTGTAACGCCTGATAAAGCAGCGTTTGTGAGCGCAGTGCTGCTTTGTGTACATTGTTACCGGGGGAACCGCTATTTTTACCGCTCCAAAAGCCGCACCTAGTGGCAAATAATGAATTTGCATTTTCATTCAGACCAACGCAAAAAGACCAACAAGTGGGCGGGCAATATGCTAATGTTTTATGTTCACGTCGACATGAACCGGCTTGGGATTCGGTTTAAAAATGACTCGTTTCAATGATTCAGAGTCGACTCTTACTTCCCAGATAGCAAAATGACTCCGGAGCGGATCCGCAAAACGGGTCCGTATCGGAGTCCACTTGCACAGCGCAACGGATCTGGGCCTCATTTACGAAACGAACGTACGACAGAAAATTGGGCGTACGGTCGTTTCAACGCAAAACTTGGAATTTATCAATATGGACGTGAGCGGTGGCTACGATCAAATCTTACGTCTGGTCTCAGCTCGTGTACGCAAGTTTTTTACTTACCTGACCTTGCGCACAGCATAGTAAATACGGTGGAGAATTCTAGAATGACAGCATTTTGTTCATTTTTATTTTCCTGACCGTCAAACGAAGCTCATTAGTCGATCGTTAACCAGTAAGATTAGAATGTCTTTTTTTTTTTTTATATGCAGGGCTTTAGCTTTATATGCGTGAATATCAGCGTAAACAAGACCGTGAGGATTCAATCGTGGCATCATGCACCTGCAGCGCTTCTGTGAAAGGAGAAAAACAGAAATTAAGTCTATAAAAGGAATAAAATAAATAGGATCACACAAAAATGTTACAAATATGGCAAAAATGGAAACATTTGGATTCTTGTGGTATGAGACAGGCTCGTGAGCCAAATGCCGTTTCAGTTTTGCTTGACATATGCTGATTATAATGAATGCTACTATAGCCTAATTTGTGTTTTATTTTATCATTTAAAATATAATTTTATAACTACTTATTTTCATTCTTGTTCTGAATACTGTTGAATTTTAAATATTTGTTGTAGAGTGAGGGGAACTAAATTGGCTGTTTATATTTACCAGTATTTTAATATACACATAAATTACATAAGTTAATGTAGCCTTATTGTTTGCAATTACAAGGTTAACGGGTGTTTTTTGGAGTAAGATCAATTTATCTTTAATGAGATCACTTCCTCTTTTTGGCCGGGTTTCGTTTCTCCATGTCGTAAATTCTAGGGGCGAGGCTTCTAAACCTGTTAGGTTTTCTGTTTAGGGTTAGGGTTAGGGGCTTAAAGGGGTCCTATTATGCTCTATTACAATGTCTTGAATTTGTTTTGGGGGTGTACTAGAACAGGCTCTCATGCTTGGTGGTTCGAAAAACACATTATTTTTTACATAATTTACATTATTACAAGTCCTCTCTCCCCAGTCTGGCACAAACGGCTCGATTAGTTCCCGGTTTGATGAAGGCCCGCCTTCTGAAAAACGAAATGTGCTGTGATTGGTTAGCTGTCCCAGTGCGTTGTGATTGG